AGCTTGAGGACTCAGTCCCCAAACTCCCAAGATCACAATCTGATCTGACATGGCTGATCAAACCTGATGCATCCCAGTCCTACCACACAGCCCACAGGATCTAGAGGATCCAACGGCAAATTCCCAGTGCCCAGTATCCAAGTAACAAAGGTTTTGGCAAGACTTTTAACTATCTCACTGTATCATATGAAATAGGCAGGCAAATTCAAATAGATCTTATTGTGTAATAACACAGGGTTAGTAATGATGATAACGACAAAAACTATAACAACAACAATAATAATAATAATATATCTATATATTATATACAATAATATATATATAAATATATATATACAATAACATATATATACATATATTTGCTCTTGTTAAGCTAAAAAAGCATATTGTGACTGCATAGTAAATCATTCAATGAAAGGGTCAAATGAGAGAAAACCTTTTATTCAACGAAAAAGAGCATCCTATAGCTCACTACTTAACCAGCATCCAGCAGACAACAGCATTCGGGTCAGGGGGCCATGCGCACACTGAGTGCAGCTCAACTCTCTGTGGAGTGCAGCTGTTATTTTGTAGTGAAAACAACTTTACAAACTTGGGTGGTAGACTACATTTTGCTCTACAATACTGTTCACATACAGCTGAAAACACCCTCTGCCCCCTAAATCCCTGGATGAATCAACCAGCAGTCACCATCTCAAGTTCAGCAGAGGGACACAACCAATAGCAAGGCGAAAATCATATACTACACGCAGCGTAACGTACGGTTAGACAAATCAGAGCTGGAGCACCTTCAGGCGTGAGGATGCCGCTTTCACATGTACAGAGGGCTGAGGTTATTTAGATGGGATCTAAAACTATTCTTCTGAGGGCCTGAATAACTTGAACGGACAGAGGCGGCGGTCCACACCGGTGATGGCCGCACCACAAAAAGGCTGTGATCAGCGAGATACAGCAGATAAACATCAAAGGTCACAAATAAAACCTGTCAGAGGTGAAAAACTTTCCACGAGCACACATTGTTACTTGACCACCTTCCTTTGTTGAAGTCTTTGCCAGGGGGGAACAGCCTCACCTTGAATTTTGGCACGTGTGACAGTCTTCGTTAATTTCTGATGCATTTGGAAACTAGTGATTAAGTCCCACCCCTTCAAGTACCCATCCCCCCCAATGGACTGAGAAATTGACGTGCTCTGGAGAGCCATTGAGTAATTATATTTGTAAAGAGCAGTGATACAAGATACTCCCCTCTGACTGGGACTCATTACACATCATTAGAGGGGAGCAGCAACTAGGAACGTGCACGTGCATCACGTGCATGTGATCACACACACATAACAAGGTCTGTTTCTCTCGCCCCCGAAAACATAGACATGCAGATCAATGAGTAGGAATCAAAATTCTTTTTGTTTTTCGGGACACAAAACTTGATTGTCAGACCCCTGAACCCACAGTGGGTCCAGACCTAATGGGATGGTCTGGATAATGTAAAACTGCACTCCATAATTAATCTGCTGATAATCATACTGTGGAAGGTCAATAAGCAATTAAAGATAGGATCGGAAATGAATTGTCATTCATCTTAACAGGTTGAAACATGAAAGTTTGCATATGGGGCCTCAGGAAAATTGCGGTCCACCCTTTGAAGCAATAATTACCATTACAGCAGAACAAGGCAAAGAGCTGCAGGGGGGTGATGGAAGACTCCTCTATAATTGGAACAGGAGAGCTGGTGATTCAACACATCAGAGCACCTGAAGAGAATCTGTACGCCTGTCCTCCATGTTCACCTCTTCTCCCCCCTGCATCTCACCTGAGCCTCAGCCTCTGTCTCTTTCCACATAAGTTTGCACTTATATGAAAAGTTTCCACTGTGCATTTCATAAAACCACAAAATATAGATGAAATCCACCGTGGCGTGTCCTCTAAAGAACACCAAACAAATATGAATCGATATTTCATAAAACTGAGCAAAACATTTCAATAATTTTTGCTCGATTTGAGTGAAAATTTAAAAAGCCCTCCGACGATTGAACGCGTACTGCTGCAAATGTGGTGCAATGAAAAGAAAAAGGAAAACAGATTACCATGGTTTGGTGTTGTTCAATTAGTGGGAATTAGTCAATGAAAGCTTTTTTTTCTCCATGTTAGGACTTTTAGCAGATTTGTTGTTGGGGTGTTGTTGCATAATCGCTCATGTTTATTGTTTCTGAGAGATGAGTTAAATATTCAGATTGTTGTGTGTATCCCGATCGCCCAGGGATGGTGGGAGAGCTACATTAGTGTCAGAAAGTGTAGTTTTAGCTGCCTTGTCTGCGTTTAAACTCATTATCTTGTCTAATTTTCCCTGCCTCCATTATTCCCTCATCCCTTCAAGCAGCCTAATTATACAGGCTTTCATTTTTTCATTAATATTCATCTACTTATTTATTCAATAGTTCTTCATGAAACAACTGTTCCTTTAATACATTGTAGACATGTTTCTAAAAGGAAGTAAAACTAGGGGATTTAATCTAATCTGGATGTCAGATGACCGGATATTAAGCCATGTGATTCTGTCAGGTAAATGTGTCCAAAACACTTAATCTGGTTAATTTAGATCTGTTTGAGCTGGATTAATTCAGCAATTGATACAAGCTTCCATATCAACAAAAACCTGTGAACAAAAGTCAAATGAAAATTAATTCAGATTTCTCAAATTGTTGCATTTTGCAAAATATTATCTTCACATAGCTTAGTGCTAATTGGTCCATCATAGTGTGATTTCCCTCTTGCCTTGGTTTTATTAGGCTTATATGAGTGTGTCTGTAATAGTTTAAAGCCCTTCCATGGGGAGATTATCTGACCATGCTACAGCAATGGACATTATCGCTCAACTACATGCATGGCTTCTTGTTTGCTCATTGGTCAGCATGGCTGCTGGGAACTCACCACGAGAGCCGCTCTCTGAGCTGTACTTGTATCTGTGAGCGTGCATGTTTTCAGAGTGCGCATGAACATGCATGTGTTTGTGTGCCTCAGATGTGTGGTTTGTTTTTGCTTTGTTTCACTCACTGTGCCCTGTAGTGTGCTTGATGTGAGTGGAGTGCATGCGAACGTGCTCAGAGTATTTGAATGCGGCATTAGCCGGTGTGTGCGTGCATGTGGAGTGACATTTGGTGAAATGTGGCAGCGAGAGAGGAAACATCTGACTCATAATTGAAGTGCCATGAAAGAAATATGGTCATGAATCTGTATTAGGCTTATGCGCTCTGCTTAAAACCAGCGGTACGGGCATGAGGCAGCCTGCTCAGCCAGTCCTCTGACTACCTTCCCACCCCGCGGGTTGATTACAACGCTCCAAAGGATACTCTGGAAAAATGAGAAAGAAAAACACCGCGTATTCAAGTCGAGCAATTCTGATGACAAAATCGATAGGCCGTAGCACTCTCATCTCCATCAAAAAGAGAGTCTCAGGATGAATGTAGTTGTGTCGCTGTGATTCACCCACAGCAATCATCTCTATGTCCTGGAGGATAAAGCAGCACTCTTCAGTCAACCTCTGCTCTTGACATGTGGAACCCTCTGAGTGGCAAGCCGAGGCAGACTGCTCTTTATAGGATGAAACTAAAAATATTCTACATTTTTCATGTTGTCAATGTGTGTCACAAACACACTTAAACCAAAAATAAACAAGCTGCCTTGCAAACGTGGTCTGTTTAACTAAAGCTGGCTGAGGCTCCGCTGTTTGTTCATAGCCAAGTGCTGGCTGGTGGTTCTAAAGAAGATCATGTCCATGAATGATAACTTGTCACAGGTTATAACATTTAATTCTGACTGTCCAGTGGCTCATACAGGCATTTGTCACAACAGCGAGAATCACTGATGTAGCTTATTTTTCTGAGCCAAAGACCTAAACTGTTGTCCAGTTAAACACAAACTGTATCAGTGAGAAACTGCATCCTGCAGGCTAGAGGTAGATTAGCACTTTGCAGAGTTGTAACATGATTCATTTTTGCTTTAAAGTTGATCATTTTGTGGACTTTGAGTCATTTATGGAACTACCTTTAATAATTCCACACAGAGTTTGTGAAGCCTATTCTTCAAATCCCATTTGGCACCCATCTTTTTTCCGATGAATACGCCAATAATTGTCACATATTTTACAATCTGGCTGTACGTGTTCATTCTCAACTTAGCACCACAACAAACATCAATGTCTAGCAAATATTTAATCATCCTTGTTACTGGACATTAGCATGACAAGTCTGTGAGTTCACAGCTTTGGTTTCTTGGGTTTTTGCAACATATAAAACATAACCATAACGGGATGATATCTGAGCGAGTGAAGAAATTCATGTTAGACTGCATTTCTTATTCAACTTGTTTATTTCCTGTAGGTAGGTTGAATGTACGTCTCTAACTGTTGAGTGAAATGGATGAACGGAAAAGGTACAATTCTTGGATAGTATGCTAACAAACTCTATTTTGTGTGACATAAAATTGTTACTATTACGCTGTCTGTCTTTTGTCACTATCTTTTCTCTCTTTTTTCTCTTTTCTTTTCTCCAAAATAAATACATACCACACAGGCAAACACATTTTTGCTGTGATTTTTATATGTCAATCTGTAAGCACAACAATTCTGGGAGACCCTCTCGATCTCACAAGCAGACCCTTCTGTTCTCCTCCACTTTTCCAGCATCAAGCCCATCTCATCATTTTTTTCACCCAACTTCATTGAAATCATTTCCTAATTTATTCCAAATCTCAGCCACAACAACAACAAACCCACATTTAGCTGACTCAATTACTGTGTGACGCACAGGAACTACAACAGCACCAAGCAAAAAAGAACCAGTCCATGTTTTTAAAGTTCTGCATGTGTTTTCCTCTTTGCCTTATTTAGACTGCATGTGGCAATCAGCACTGCTCATTACACCTTGGCGCTCTATAAAGATGCCCTAGAAAAATGTCCTTGAAGATGGAAGGGAAGAGGAAAAAAAAGAGGAAACTGTGCTTACCGAGGACGCCGACGCGATAGTTGAGAGTGATAACGATGACATTTCCATAGCTGGCCAGAACGCTCCCATCGATCATGTTGCCTGTCCCCTCCATGTAGGAACCTCCATGGATGTAGACCATCACAGGCTTGGCCCCAGTGTCTCGTATGTCTGCAAGAGTGGCCATCATTAACACATTCACATTGTGGTCCACCCACTCCGATCAAGGGCCAGCTCAGATTCAGCAGTTACAGGACATGGTGACCACAAACAGACAGGCTGCCTATCCCCTCCCAGATACCAGTTGTAATCACCTAGTTTACTGGCGTACTAATGGTGTAATGATGTATTATTCTATCAAATGTGTCCACTTGATTTTAACTACAATAATCGGCCATCCCAACTGGAAATATGGCTGGTCGTTTATATCATGTGCACCAAACTATCAGGGTTGTATGTGGTTGCTCATTGCCTTCTAGGAGCAATGGCACTGCCTAATATAGACATGCAGAGAGCCACAAGGGAGAATAAAGAGAGAGGTGCTGTGACACCTCTCCCATGCAGGGAGAAGGCTAATTTAGCTTGACAGTCAAAGGAGAAAATGCACTAGTTAATTACGCAATGCTACCGCGCACCTTCTTTTTACACAAGCCTATAGTGCTGTAACAATTTATTTGCACAGTCCTGCTTGGAATTGCCAGCAATCTTGTCCCCTGCTCCTAGTTTTTTTTTTTGTAAAATATTGTTTATTTTACTCCTGAAGCAGGTATTTGATACCCAGCTGGGCCACACTCCAGCCAGATAAAGCACATCTAGTGGTGGAGGGAAGAAAAAAGCCTCTGTCTGAGGAATAGACTGAATTACTGACTGGCTAGTCCGAGCTGGGAGACAAGACAAGTAACTCTCTCTCATTTTCACTCCTGCTACCCTTACTCCCCGGCCCTCCCCACCCTTCCCGAGTTCTGCGTAGCTTCCCCTCAGCCCACCCCCTCACTTTGTATCACTTTCACTCACAGACTCTCCCCTGTCTCTCCCTGTTTTTTTCCCGCCTTCTCTCCATCTCTGTCCAACTCCCTGTCTTTACTTTTTTTTTCATTCTAAGCCCTGAGAGGGGTGAAAATGAGAATGGGTAGGAGGGCAAAAAGTTAGAAAGACAAGGAGAAAGACATGGACATAAAGACAGATTGGAAATCTGAAAAAAAGGGAGGAGGAAACATAAAAAAAGGGAAAAAAAACACGAATAAAGACGAAAAAAGGGAAAAGAGAGGAAATAAAGAAAGCAATAAGCTCAGATTTAAAAGGGTGGTATTGTGTTCTTGTTGCTATGGTGACTGCGAGCCAAAATTCAAAATCCTGAAGAATAGCTAAAAAGAGACATCCTGCACACTCTAATCTGCATCGATCTGCAGGCACTTCTCGTCGTCATACACCTCTCCACATTAGCATGCTTAACACAGAGGACTACTACGTTAATGCATTTTGTAACCTCCACAGCAGGGCTGAGCCTTGATTCACATATTTTTTTTCTTTCTCTTTTTATCATTCCCTTGGTTATTCACAGCCCTGTTAGGTTTAAAAGCAAAGCAATAACTTGTATATGATGTGGACTTATTTATGGCTTCCTTTATCTTGCTGGTATCTGAGAAGGCTACACAGTGAAATGTGATTTATAGCTGACACTTCTCTATACACACACTTATCTTCCACAGGAGGAGGAGGAGATGCAAGGGGTGAGAGAGCATGAAAAGTACAGTCGGAGACGGGTGGGGGAGCGGGGAGGCTGGGGGACAGAAAAACGATATCCTACACAAGCTATTCAAACAAATGGGCCACAGATACAAAGAGAATGGCAGAGAAGAAGAAGGAACAGGGGGCAGAAATAAGAAAAAGAGATTAGTCATGTCAATGTTATCAGTCACCTCTTTTGTTGATTCACATTGTGTCGCCATGACAACATCAAAATCCCTTTGGGAAAGGGATACAAATCATTGAAGCTCCACTTGTTCTAATCTATTTATTGAGTTGATCTGATGTGGGAGGTGTCACAGGGATATGATATACAATCTTTAGTGACACTGGTTTTGTCGTCAGAAGAAGATGCACATGCAACAGAACCCAGATTGTACTTGGTTTACAGAGTATAAAGAATCTTTTCTGGATCCATTTGCCTCCAGGCTGTAGCACTGATTTGCTCGGAGGTTATGCGACTGGTAGCTCCTCTAAACCAATCAGATCACTGTTTCATTAGCAATAGATAGGACTTAATCTGGTGAAGCAGGTGACTAGGCAGCTACCCTGAAAAGTAGCTCCCTGATTCACTATCTCACCTAGGCTAACACCTAGTTACATAAACACATAATAAATGGCATTAGGCTCCAGCACAGAGCTATTGCAGAAAAGAAACAGATCAGTTTATTAATGCACAACATGGTGTATATTTAATCAAAATTACATGCAGAGTGAATTCAAAATATAAAAAAGATAAACAGAAGGAGAAAAAAGGATGAACTCTGAATGATGGAAATACAGATGAAAGCTGATATGGAAAAAATCAATGACCCGATCATAAAAAAAAACAATTCATGTACACAACAGTTTTTCTTTTAAATTTCTCTTCACCAGACAAGTGAAATCATGCAACACTTACTTTGCAGTGGCATAAACACATACACGCCCAGCACACATTCTACAAACAGCAAAATCCTGCATCACTAGAGGAAAAAATTAACTGATAAGTGCGCAGTGGATAAATAAATCAAAAGTTTTCCATTTAGACAGTGAGGGCAGTCAGAACCACAAATATATTGTGAATTTTCTAAAGGACTGAGGGGCACAACCTTTCAAAAGTGCCTTTCTGTGCCTGCGGACTGATTGGAGTGTCAGTGGGAGGCATAACTCAAGACCAAGCCCTAAAGTGTTGCTGCCGCAAGTGAAACCCACCAGGAGGGCTTGGAGCACTCCTTCCCTCTTCTGTTATCTTATTTTCTCTTTCAACCTGCACATTCACCCTTTTGCCCTTTGTCTCTCTCTCCATTGAAAGCAGTCAGTCATATATCCGGTGCTGGGTGCCCCAAAACTGGCCCCGATACTGAGGAGCGGGACTGGATAATGGGGAGCGGAGATAAGTGCAGGTGGCATTCAAAGTGTCAACGCTTTGGTTGAAACATGCTGGCTGTCAGCAGCTATCAGTGAAGTCTGAGGTGGGGTGCGGATGGCTGTTGGTGGGAAGGGGGGGGGGGGGGGGGGGGGTGGGTGACAACGTCCTGAGTTGACAGGACATGACTTGTACCTACTGTAGAGCTGTTGTCAGGCCAGGCTTCACAGCTCTTTTAAAGGCAAGTTCATTATTGGTTATGTCCGCGTTCAAGAATTGCTCATGGTTTATCTGGGGAGCCCCTTGCTAAACAAGCGGTGTAATTACAGTGTAAAATGTTGCAGCTAGTGTCAGAGCACATGTCTCTGACATTGTGCTGAATGTCTTTCAAAGTCTGGCTTATATTCTATTTGAACTGGACTAAATGAACTCACTCTGTGTGGCAAGGGAGAACTAAACCAACTAAAATAGCTGAAAAGGGGAACAGAGTGTAACTAGTCTTTGGACTTTAAGCCACAGTAAAAGGAGGGCAAAAAGTAGGCATTATATTGCAGCTTTTCAGTATACAATGCTTGTATACAGACCATCAAGTATTTACCTTGTAAGGTATTTGCAAGATCAAACTATAAGCTGTTTCTGGCCACAGCAAAGAAAGAGTTTTTTACATCACACTGGCATTTATGGAGAGGTTTTAAGTGTGAAGACAGTTGAAACCTCTGAAAGAGGAGCTTCAAAGAGGGTTAGTATAAGTGCTGATATAGGACCAATAAACTGTAAGTATGTTGTTATCCAAAGAGCAAAACTATATTAATAAATAAACAGACAGGAGGCTTTTATCTGTGGGAGCCCCAAGTTCAACGCTTGTCTCTTTCCAGCAGGATTCATCAAGAGTTTAACTTTATCGGCTCAGTTTGATCTTATTTGTCCACGATAAACACTGATACACATCATTCAATCACAAACTGTATTTAGAGCCTGCATATTTCAAGTTTTCCATTTAGTTTTTCCAGTTTCTTTTGTGTCATTATATTTCTTGGCCACCAGGCATCAGGTGCCAATGTCTCAGATCAAATCAAACAAAACAAAGCCAACTTGGAGCCCTTCTTTTTCTCAGAAAAAACAAACAAATGTTGACACTGGACTTGTCCCTTCTCTCAGCCTGAGGCCTTTTTAAAACAGGAATGCGATTTTTTTTCCAGAAAACTTCTGAAAGGTTGCTTCCAGCTGAAGGTTTCACAATACAGTTTACAATCTCTCTTTTCACAGTTTGCTGCAGTAGGTCTACCATTTTGTCTTCTTCATATTTGGGGATGGCTTACAGTTTTAAAATGGGTGAATCACACGCACTAACGCAAACACGTCATCAACTCAGGCAAAAGAAAAATAACTCTGAGAGGAAAAATGTTTCTATTTTTCTTCTAGGCCACAATCATTCCATGTTTCATAAAGCCAATAATTATTTACTTCTGCATTAAAAGACCATAGAGTTGATTTGCATGATAACGGTGTGATGTAACGCTCTGCTGCTAGAAGCAGCAGGAGGTAAATGCAGCTCATATGAGCGTTTGTACACCAGACCACACGTCATTATCAAATATTGCTATTAGAACCATTAAGTCCTCAGAAAAAGATTCTATTTTGATTGATGACATAACGTTTTTTACGATAAATACATAAAGGTTTTTGTCATTTCTGAGTTACAGTCAGTTAATAACACAGAAACCATGTTCTCAAACACTTCTGCATCAGAGTGAAAAATACATTCCTGTCTTAATGTGACTGGTACCTTCACTGACACTATTTTCACAATTCACAAGTGGTTTCCTTATCAGCCACATTTGAAAAAGAGGACAGTCTATACTAATGTTGAAAAATTTCCCAATGAAATCTTCAGGCTAGAGAAGTTTTAGAGCGTGCCCTACATGGGCAGGAGAACAGCGCCTTACAGCTGGAGTATGCCAAACTCAACAGTGTTTCTTAGAAAACCTGACACTTTTGAGGACTGAGGAAACCTGACTGACATACTGTATAAAAGTATCTGAGTCTGTACTCCTCTAAATTGACATCCCTACTGTAAAAGTAAGGTGAAGCATAAGCTTTGTGGGAAGGTGAATTTTAGCTCCCTGACTGTTGTGTTTGTGTGTTAAATATGATGTTGGCAGCAGGGCAGGCAGTATGTGTATGTGTATAAAGGATGGGAAGAGGAGATAGATGTGGATACACGCTTGAGTTAAACGAGAGGGAAGACACAGAGAAGCCTACAAGGCTATTAGACAAAGCCCGATACAGCTGGCCTGGATCTGGATGAGAGGAGGAGGCAGCAGAGATGCTGTCATGGCTGAGACTCATAGACAGATGTTTTTCCCCAAGTGAAAAAGTAGTAACCCCTCAGTCCTTTAAGGAAATCTGCTGACTGATCCACAAAATCTAACATTATACACTGCAAAACCACTGAGGGGGTTAACAACAGCACACAACAAATACATTTAAGTGCTGCATAAAGCCTACAGACGTGCTGTGGCATTGCTTAAGGAAAGAATCAGAGCGCACAGGAAACTCGTTCTACACTGTATTCCATAGAATTATCAAAAGTTTTGTGATCAACAGTTTTACTTTCCAAGTTATTTTTATCCTACCCTTTGAAGTGGCAAAAATCATGCCCTATGGATCGGCTATTAGCAGAAATGCTTATCTTGGAAAGAAGAAGAGCTGCAACATTCCAAAGATCTCTGAATAAATGGGCTTCAAGGGGCATGATTCCTCATTGCTGCCACATCAGAGAGAATAGGATAGTGGCAGAATGGAGAGAATGGTGTGTGAATTGCTCCCACTGTCGATTTACCACTCTCCAGGCTGCCTGAGCTGAGCTGAGGGCTTTGCTGGATGGGGATCCAGCCAGGCCTGTGCAATGGAATTAATGGTAATACCCAGGCAGGTGGAGCTCAGCTATGCTGTCTGGCACGGCAACGGTGGAAAGTGTCTCTAAGGGTGGGGGTACGTCTGTGTATGTGTGTCTCTTTTTCGTTGCTTGCTTCTAGGGCTTGGACGCGAGCACTGTGTATGTGAACAAGAACGTACATACATTTGTACACTCACACTGAGCGGAAGCATTCTTTAGGCTCTCGGAGTGCCAAATGGCAGGCGAGCACACGGATCTATTTTTCATCAAAGGAGGTGGGCCGGGGCAGCCGTGTTGCGAGACACTCTAGAGGTGGAGTGGGGATGGCCGCCTCTAGCTGCCTATCGCCGGGCACAGTACCTCACACCACGGTTACGTTCCACCCGGGAGATTCAGCTCCAACACAGAATCACTTCCTCTATTTACATGGCCACCTTTATCTAACAGCAGCAGGTACGTGATTGAAAGCTTGCGCTGCCTTTTACAGTGCAATATCAGCCTCTGTAAAATTGAGTCTTGATTGTGGGCTGGTGTAAATCGAAGCAACTTGGCCCACACAGTTGTGTTGCTGTTGGGAGCGCTGTGGAGAATTTGAATGCGCTTCGGGGTGCCAGGGGCTTGACTGTTGCTCAGAAAGACAGACAGATGCACAAAAGGAGAGATAGCAAGACATACACAGACAAACAAAAAGGAAGAGCCCCAGGAGCACTTTTCATTTGGGTTGTCTTTTGGTCTCAGCTTAATGTTTTTTACTGGCTGCTCCAGTTTGTTTATCGTTAACTTATAGATCAGTCTTTCATTACATATGTTGCATTTCTTTGGCAACATAATACATCATTTATTACTTCAATTCTTAGCTCTAGAATTTAGGAAAGTACTTGGAGGGTTTCTACAGGGAGGAGGGGAGTTTCAATATATTTGATGGAGGGAGCAAATTAGCCCTGGATAGACAGACTGCCAACTGAGACAGCATGGTAATGCTGGGATGAACAGACTGAGTGATGGAGGGGGTTACACAGAGAAACCAGGCAAGACAGAAGCTCTATCAGATGAATGAAAATATGTGGATAAGAGATGCCTGAGCTAAACAGTGAGAGTGGTAGTTCGGCCTGTGGTCCTGCGATTCTATTTGTCCTTCAACTTATACAAATACAAATGGGGGGATTTTTCATTGGTGATGCACACAGTAAAATAAGTAGAGAGTAGGAGATTGCTATTATCTACCATTATAGTACAGCTACTTACGTAAGCAATAGCTGGTGAGACAGCTAACAAGGACTCTGTGTTTTGTGCAGTATACACAACCACTATTTAGGGAGGAGAGACTTTTCCCACTGAGGCAACACTTCTTTTTTTGGGGGGGTGGGGAGGCACTGGGGGATATCAAATCAGTTCAACACATTCGCCAGAACAATCAAAATCTTCTGTATCATGTTTAGTGACTGATGGCCAATTCTGTCACATATGCATTAGATACAGTGCTGTGGCAGAGATGCTGCTGGAACTGTATTGTGCTTCCTCTGTGATGCGCTGTAAACAGCATTAGTTGCGCTCAGTAAAGAATAGACTTGTCACATTTTCAGTGGGGCTAGTCTAGCACAACAGCTTGGAAGGCAAGCTAGTGTGTATGCATGCAAACACTTGCCAGACAAAGGGATCACCTCTTGTCAGCAATTTTGAATGGACTTAGAGCTACATACTGACACACGTGGGCTCGCCTGAAGGACAACACGGCTTCACATGCATGCACGTACACACACAGATGATTCAGATGCTGGGGGCAGTTTGGCTGCAGTTGCAACAGCTTGCCCTGGGCTTGAATGAGGAAACACCTGTGTGTCAAAATAATGCCATGGCAACGCCTCCTGTTCCATCATCAAGGCCAGCACGAAGGTTTTTTTTTTTTTCTGAGTGTAGAGCCCAGTGACAAAAATGATGGTGCTTCTCAACGAAACCGTGAATATTTAGAGAGATCCAGTCAAATTAACAGAACCCTCATGGTTCTCCTCGATAAGAAACCGTAATTATTGGGTGTTTTCACAAAACAGGGCAGAATGTGATTTATATGCCAACATTTTAGACAAATCTCTAACAGGAAAGGGCAATTTACTGGGATGTTTCAGTTGTAAGACCAAAGAAAACTAAAATCTGATAACCCCTCAAGATGCACTGACAACAGCTTTCTGCAGACTTATTCAATCCTATACATGACATGTGAAAGTCCAATGTTTTATGAGCAGATTTAGAATAAATAAGGGACTTTATTTTGAAATGTAAGGTTATGCGTGCATTGTCTGCCCTACCGTGGCAAAAGAAAGCGAGGGCGGGGCAATATCAAGGGTTTGATTTAGATTCAGAGTCTTAAGCCGTTTCTGTTGCAGCACAAGAGCCGTCTCTCATTCTAATCTCGGCAGAGATCCACCCTGAGCCAGGAATATCCCAAGATAAATATGGAAAGTGAACAATGCGATTGCTGAGCAGCAACTTCCCATTTTCTACACCTCTCATTTCTAATCCTCTTCAGCAGCACTCCTGAACTGCCGCTCCCCATCTAAATCTGCAGGCAGACCTGGAGAACAGTCTGATATTACACTGCTGCCTCTCTTTCCATCTGCCATTATCACCAACACAGATGCTAGCCACACCTTAAAAAGGGGGCTTCAAGCACCACCACTACCCCTTGTAATAGCAGTTTCTCCAGTCACCGTGTGAGATAATAAAATGAGTCAACCTCGGCTCGGTTATCTAAACAGCTACCAGACTTTATCTGCCTCTGAATTTAGATGCTTAGGAACAAGAGCAATCACACTCACTCACATGTACTCCGTTTAAAAGCACTTCTCTACGGATAGCGATGAAGCATGGGATGCTTAATGATGGTATTTGAAATAAGAAAAAAAGAAAATCAAACAAACTTCATAGACAATCTTAAAACAGTGAGATTTCTTATAGTGGGAATCATGCACCATCTTGTTCACCGTTGAAAATACCTTCATCTTCATCACCGTCGTTTTCCGCTAAATCCTCGTTCTGTTTTTTTGCATGGACCCCTGTTATTGAAGCAGGAAGAGACATAGAGAGGCACAAGGAAATTCAAAATAACAATGTGTGGCAAAAACAGATGGGCGAAGAGGCATTTCAATGAGAGCAGTAATTAAAACCACATGTGGATAACACAATGTTAATTTAAATGCATTTGCATATAAAAATTTCATTTGTTGCACACAGCAAACCTAACAAAAACAGAAAAATAAATCATTCTCTTAGAATGCAAACGCCAGAACCTGCATTTAGTCAAAAAAAAAAAAGCACAGTTCCTACAGCACATTAGAAGCAGAGTCATACACCACTGACATTTTCAGAAAAAAAAAGCCTTTTATTTTATAAGAGAAAATCAACAAGGAATCTTGTGCCTGATGGTTGTTGTAAAAAGGAATTGTTAATTGATGTATTCTGACTTTCATTTTGTCTCCACATATTGAAGACTGAAGAGAACCTCTAATTATTTCTGGAATGTGCATTTAGCAGCACCTGAGTGCGTGTAAAAAGTAAAAAGATCATACGAGGCTAATAAAATGCTATAATTGGTAAATAGCATCATGGAAATATCATCATATCTGCAATATTTTAGATGAGCTCAACCATGTTAGAGAAATCCTGTTTAAAACTTAAGGCAAATGTGCAAGTCAAACTGCAATTTCCCCCTTGAAACATATCTGAACAAACCACAAATATCATGTATAGTTATCAACATGGTATGAGCGTGTTATGTGTTATAGAAATTAAATATGTACCCCATGAAAGGGCTGGCCATAATCTACAAATCTAATGTGTTCACCTACTTCTTCTAAATTGATTGCAATTTTTAGTTTCTCCCCATCCGCCAAAGCCCCAAAAGACATCAATACATGTTAGGAGGTCGATTGACCCATCAATCTGTTCATTCAATAGTCCATCATTTTGTGACACAACTAAGAAGAAAAATGTTATTTTTGGAGAATAACCTTTTATGCAGCACCCTGTCGGTTCGTATTTTCCACATGAATACTGCCTGGTACTGTAGGTTGTAACGCTGCTGGACTTTTCTTTGTGTGCAGCCGCACAGCTGCTATGAAAGTGAATCAATAACAAATCTTAACCAATTGGCATAGAATTGAATAATCTAGTCATTATTACACAAGGATGAGATGTCCTCTTGAAATAATGTTTTATTAGGACAGATGGGTTTGACCCTTATCTGAAGTACAAGCGACTGCTAGCAGCGTAATTTAAAAGATAATTAACAACAGTTTTCACTGGCAAACTCTGGTCTCTGTCCATGCTAGACATTATAAAATCCTTCCTCTCTTACCAACCCCCGAGCAAATTATTAACTTATTCCTCAAGACCTTTAATGGTCGGAAGATTAATGATCAGTTGGGATGATCCCAATAACCACAAATGAGACTGTTCAGTACAATAATTTAAACGACTATCAGGAGTCTTCTGCCCTACTGCTCCGTTTTTTTTTTAAGTTATCTTATGAGCACTCCGCATACCCACAAAGCTGTGCTGTAATAAACACCTTGAATGCTGTGCTGTCTCCCTCCATTTTATACACTGTCAATCTTACATGTATCATACACCATCTGCACATATTGTGTACTGTGTATGCGGCATATATGCTAATGTTTTATCCTGTGTGTATGAATCCATCTGCTCACTTCTAATTCCCTCCCCTCCCCCTATCCTCCCCTCTCTTCTGTCTTCTTGTTAATTGATACTGTAGATGTAATACACTGTAATGCATAATGTAAAAGGCTGGGTGTCATGACATTTACCGAGAACATTTATTCTCTGAAGTGGGGATGACTTTTTTTATCATTCTTTGGTAAGTACAGTGACCTTGGTCAGGTTGTTCATTGGGTTTCTATTATAATGAATAATAGAGTGTAAAGAATGTGGGATGTAATCGGAGCGCCAGATGCAAACACGCTCATGTTAACCGAAAACTGAGCTAAACGCATCATTACTGCTAATAGCAGATCAATGGATAGAAAGGCTTGGATGTTTCTGTGGGAGCAGTTTTTCAGTTTGTCCCTAAAGTTAGATAAATGTAAAGCTTGCGTCTACCAAATCTTAATCTTCCCACTACCATCAAAGGACTTATAAGAAAATAGCTTTTAAAGATGATTCTACAAATCTATGTTTAAAAATATGGTATTCCATTTAAAAAAAAAGTCTTATAAATCATTGTATTTGCCTTGACTTTTGGTGCTACACATTATTTTTTAAATAACTTTTTCAAAGTATTCAAATTGCATTGTATGACATATTAAAAAGAAGGAAAACATTCAAAATACGCATTTAGATGGGGTCTTTGAAAATTCCTAATAAATGTGATTAAATGTTTGCAATTATTCATAAAAATATGCACATTTCCCTATTCTTAAAATAAATTAAAAAATTTCAATGTGAGTAATCAGTTAATAAAACTTTTTTTGGTAGCTACATTGGTTTAATTAATACCATTTTATAATACTAAAACTGTATGGAACTTCAAATCTATGTATCTTTAAAAAAAGGTTTTCATAACAACAGTAAAGAATCATCACACCTGACTCACACACACACACACACACAAAACATTCAGTTTTCTTATTATCTGCATTCTTAAAGGTTTTCATGGATTGGTTTATTAAAAAAACATTCAAGGCCTTGTTTTATTATTTTCTTTACTTGTCAAATAGACTTTTTTTGGTTGTTTTCTCTTTGGCTGCATCTTATCAGTTGTGAAATGTAAGATTCAAGATATTTCATTTGAGATGAAAACTCATAACTTTTCTCAAAACTTAACAAAACCCTTACTAATCTATTTTATATATATACATCACAAATTTGTATTAAACATGGATTCAATTGTTCAAATAATATATTTTGTGTGTGACACTTTTTCTGTCACAATTAGTCGATGTATTACCCTGTTTAACTGAAAACCATCCCACTAACTGTTGTCTTTCTTGCATTCATGAATTAAATGTGAGGGATCTTAATCGCAGTACCTTAAAAGTTCAGCTATTCCGAGCAAATTGGTGTGTTTGGTACCCGGTGTTGGACTAAATGTGCTTTTCCAAATTGCTGTTACTCATTTGAAAAATACGCTTAGTCTCATAATTTGCTAAAACAAATTTGAGGATTGCTTAAAGTTACTTGGTCAAGTCTTGGAATTCAAATAATGAATCACATCAGTAGACTCTGGGCTGTTTAAAGTCATACATGTGGGCACATATTTCCTTGCTTTTGATTATCAAGCACATATGTGGAATGTCTTTCCCTTTTAGATTTTGTTATGGGCTCATAATGACAATAGAGATTCTCAATTCTTAACATGTAGGCTTCACAGAACATCAGCAGATGACCACAGCATGACTACAACAACTATTCTCGCATGCATTTTGCTATCAATGGGGGTAAACAATGTCTTTATTGAGTGATAGAGCTTTAGACAGGCATAGATTAGATGGCAGGTGTCAACAGGGAACCTCTGTCACTTTGAATTTTGTTGCCAGCAACTCTGTGTGTGTGTCAAATACTGCATCTAGAACAGGACTTGAAAACATTTGACATCTATACCTGACTCAAGCAAGCAAGCCTATATTTGACCTTGAATTTTCTGAACTGATGCCTCAGTGGAAGAGTATGACGTTGAAATAAAATTACAAAAAGATAGAGAGTTTTCTGGCAAAGCTGGCCTTCGGGAGTCAACATTTGCATTGCTGGAAAACAGGTGGGGTTTAGAATAACAGCTATTATTCTTGATCTCTGACAGGCAAAATAAAAACCTGTCACATTTATCAAATCAGGTTGAGGGGGAAAAAAACATTAGATGGGCTCACTTACTACATAAAGGATATTGAAATGTAACATTTCAACAAGATGAAATTTCAAACAGAAGACATTCTAGTCGTTCGCTGTCGGAATAAACCAAAGCACGAACACGCACACATGAACCCCAACGCTCAAACTCACACGAATACATACAGAGTGCTCTCTGACTCCAGAGACTTCTTGACTGAATCCACAATTCACTCAATACATCGTGGGAAGGGCTGAATGTTAACTGGCTTTCTTCTTGCAGGAAAAAGGTTCGCTGACAATAGATGAGCCTTGGAGTTAAATATTATAAAAGGTCAGGAAGTGGAAAGGGACTTAGTGAAATGTGAAATGTTGCAGCCTGGACAATTTAGAGCAGTAATATTCAGTGTCTAATCCTCAGGTGGCCATTTCTCTTTTTCGGAGTGCCTGGATTTGTCTTGAGTTCCGAGTCTTTCTCTCTTCTCTCTTACTCTGTGTGTGTCTGTCTTTGTCTCTCTCAATCTGTTTTCCAGTGCAGAGGTTAAGGAACAGCTTGGGAGGGACACATGAGAGAGAATGATGGAGAATGCAGCTAAAAGGTTAAGGAGGCTGTAATCCCGCAGTAAAGGACAGCCAAAACTCACACTGCGCTTCAGCTGTTCCCCAAATAAAAGGGAAACTAGATGAAAAACAGAAAATATAAATAAAATGCAGCCAAGCTGTCTATAATGCAGCCCTTAGCTTGATGATGGAGAAGAAATTGTAACAGAGGATACAAGTTCCTGGAAAATTTAAGCAACTAAATGATCACCGTTGTTCTTCTGGTAATATTTTGGTAACAAAGCACCAGAAATATGGCAAAGCACACAGATTGGCAGTAGAAATTACATGCACATGGATATGAATTTAACTGAGAGGGATTAGAAACATTTTCTACAACTTGTGCATGTGTCTGACGAAGGAAGAAAATTGTTCTCTAACATATGAGCAAAGAATTTTTGTGAGAAATGCTTGCTGACAAGAGAAGTCCACAGGGTATCTTTAACCTCTTTATCTCCGCAAACCCACTGACAGGTGTATTAATACAAACGTATGACTTGTGTCCAACCGCTGTTAATTCTTTTCTCTTTTTTGTTGGAATACTAAATGTGACAGGCTGAACTTTTAAGAGGGTGTGATGAACGTCAGGCATTTTTCTCATAGATAGACAATGTTG